GTTAATGCTCATGAACAAAGTCGCAGAGCTGCTTGCTCCCGCTGTGTGGATGAGGAATAGGCATGGAGCGGCTAAACATCTTGTTTAATATTATATTTTACCTGTGGCAGATCTGGGTTTAGTTTCCTTGTCTAGCCCAAGCTGCTGGGCATCCTCCCCTGAAGAGCTCTGGGGGAAGGTGAGCTTGGGAGTGAAGCTGTTTTCAAGAGGATCCTCTTTGCAGCTGGCTGATATGGAGTGTATTGCTAACTGTGGGCAGAGAAAAAAAAATACTGTTGTCTATTTGAGGAATTTGTTGAATACAGATACTCCTCTGAGACTTCTTGCTGTGTTCCCAGTGACTGTTGAATGCGAGGGCTTTCTTTTAGTCCACTTGCCAGCTTGAGAAAATCCCAGGGAAAATAGCCCAATTAAAGAAGCTGCTGCCTTAGCTAAATCATATGTGGTATCTCTTAAACTGCTTAGTATTTAAAAAAAAAAACAAAAAACAAAAAACAAAACCTTGGTACCTATATTTCCCCCCCTTTAATGTTAGTTTTTCAAAGACGCACAAATCCCCGGAGATGATGTTCATCTCGGGACCCAAGCATTTATAGAAGCCATGCTTCTAATGTGCCGGGGCTAAGCTGCGAGTGACTCATTAGCCAGATGGAGCTATAATTTATTTCTGTCTTCTCAAGGAAGCTAATCCCCTGGACCTAAACTGAATGAATATCCCGTGAAATGTGGTATCTGTGCAGGGTGAAACTTGAGATTTAAATACAAAAAGCAAAGGGTGTGTTACAAAATCCAGGGCAATGTTACCCAGCAGAGGAAGTCAGGTGCAAGCAGTAATACTGCACTGGAGTTCAGAAATAGTTATTTTTCTGTGGCACGGGCTCTGTTTAGGGGAACAAAAGTGCAATTCTTTTGTTAAATGCGGGATGGGAACAGTAACTGAGTCTGTGCGCGGCCTGGGACAGATGCGGTTTGTTCCCCCTTTTCAGAATGACTAAAGGGATGTTGTGAGTTCTTGAATTTACGAACGAGACGGGAGCGTGTCTGCAAGTGGGGAGCCTGGCACGGGCGCTGGGCAGCCGGGCTCTAAGAAATGTGCCTGGTAAATATCGGGTTAAATATCAAATACAGCTGAAAGGTGAGTATTTAACCAAATACCTTGAAATTTAAAAGTAGCTCAAGTGGCTGTGCCGCTTGGCGGTAGCGAGGGGGTGCGTAGGTGCGATTTGTGCCGGGTGCGCCTTGCCTGGGGATTGCAGCTTTAGGCAGGGAGCTGAGGCGGCCGCCCCGGGAAGGTGGCCGAGGGAGGGCTGCGACTGATAGAAGTCCCCTTGCCAGCACTTCTGGGGGGAGAAGTAATATTTTTGTGGGGGTGTCTCATATTTCCGTAGCTAACAGGAATGGGAGGAATCATAAAACTAAATCCCAAGAAGCATTTTAGCTGGTATGTGAAGTTTTTTAAGTTAATGTAGAATTCACTTTTTTCCTGGATTAACTAAAGGAGCTTCTCTGTCCTGTTTCTTTTTGTATGACATAGGATTTTC